AACTCTCTCCAGAAGTTCAGTGAGGATCTCTGAATGATCCAATGTTGACCTAAATGACTAATGATGATAAATAGAATCCACCTGTGTGTAATCAAGTCTCCGTATAAATGCACCTGCACTGTGATAGTCTCAGAGGTCCGTTTAAAGCGCAGAGAGCATCATGAAGAACAAGGAACACACCAGGCAGGTCCGAGATACTGTTGTGGAGAAGTTTAAAGCTGGATTTGGATACAAAAAGATTTTCCAAGCTTTAAACATCCCAAGGAGCACTGTGCAAGTGATAATATTGAAATGGAAGGAGTATCAGACCACTGCAAATCTACCAAGACCTGGCCGTCCCTCTAAACTTTCAGCTCATACAAGGAGAAGACTGATCAGAGATGCAGCCAAGAGGCCCATGATCACTCTGGATGAACTGCAGAGATCTACAGCTGAGGTGGGAGACTCTGTCCATAGGACAACAATCAGTCGTATACTGCACAAATCTGGCCTTTATGGAAGAGTGGCAAGAAGAAAGCCATTTCTTAAAGATATCCATAAAAAGTGTCGTTTAAAGTTTGCCACAAGCCACCTGGGAGACGCACCAAACATGTGGAAGAAGGTGCTCTGGTCAGATGAAACCAAAATCGAACTTTTTGGCAACAATGCAAAACGTTATGTTTGGCGTAAAAGCAACACAGCTCATCACCCTGAACACACCATCCCCACTGTCAAACATGGTGGTGGCAGCATCATGTTTTGGGCCTGCTTTTCTTCAGCAGGGACAGGGAAGATGGTTAAACTTGATGGGAAGATGGATGGAGCCAAATACAGGACCATTCTGGAAGGAAACCTGATGGAGTCTGCAACAGACCTGAGACTGGGACGGAGATTTGTCTTCCAACAAGACAATGATCCAAAACATAAAGCCAAATCTACAATGGAATGGTTCACAAATAAACATATCCAGGTGTTAGAATGGCCAAGTCAAAGTCCAGACCTGAATCCAATCGAGAATCTGTGGAAAGAACTGAAAACTGCTGTTCACAAACGCTCTCCATCCAACCTCACTGAGCTCGAGCTGTTTTGCAAGGCGGAATGGGCAAAAATTTCAGTCTCTCGATGTGCAAAACTGATAGAGACATACCCCAAGTGACTTACAGCTGTAATCGCAGCAAAAGGTGGCGCTACAACGTATTAACTTAAGGGGGTTGAATAATTTTGCACGCCCAATTTTTCAGTGTTTTATTTGTTAAAACGTTTGAAATATCCAATAAATTTCGTTCCACTTCATGATTGTGTCCCACTTGTTGTTGATTCTTCACAAAAAATTACAGTTTTATATCTTTATGTTTGAAGCCTGAAATGTGGCAAAAGGTCGCAAAGTTCAAGGGGGCCGAATACTTTCGCAAGGCACTGTATATATATATATATATATTTAAGTAGTTTAGTCCAGTGGTTCCCAATGTGGGGCTTGTGTCACAAAATTAATGTGAAGGGTTGTGAGATGATAAACGGAGAGGAAGGAACTAAACAAAAACTATTCTGCTAGACATTTTCTTTTATTATTTTTTCAGTACTACAGTTTGAGCTCTTTGAGCCCAATGTTTTGAGGGGTAACAAAAACGGGGTATAAAGCTCAATATTTCACATTACATAGAGTGAAACAAGTATAAAGTAGGAATAAACTGAAATTCTAAAGTACCTCAAATAGCATTTAAGTACAGTACTTGAATACTTAGTTAAAAATAGAAATAGAGAGATCTACCTTAAATTTATAGACTCTTCTGCGAGTCAGGTAAAGCGGGAGAGATGGCTCATTCAAAAACATTCTCTGATCAATCAAGGGTACAAAACATTATGCAAGGCTCAAAATGCAAAAAAAAAAACCCTGCTTGACTAAAAAAGGCCGTTTGGAGCACAAAATGATATTATTTACTACATCCCTTTAACCGACTGATTAGTCTCTCACTATTTGATGAAGCGTCTGAATTTACCTTCATCTTGCGGGCGTTGAGCTTCTCTTGACGCAGGTGCTGGCGTAAAGTGTGCCGGTGGCTGCTCTCCTGTTCCCGTGCAAACTCGCCCAGCGTGTAGTGTCTGATGGAGGAGTGGTGACGGGCCATGCCCAGGGAGCTGCCCCCTTGGCTGGGCACACTGGTGAAGCCCTGCCGCCGGGGGAAGTAATACACCGTCACCACATCAAAACGGACCCGTTTCCCCCCCAGTGACGGCTTCTGCTGTCTGAGGATGGAGGTGGCTGAGGTGGGGAGAAGGGGATGAGATTTGAAATGTAATGTTTTATATGAATAAGGACTACTTTAGCTTATTAGCTGTTTGAGTGTGGTCTGGAGTGTACTGCCTTTTGTTATGTCTGCCCTCTGCGGCTCCTTACGAGTAAATGTTGTGCTAGAAGGGGGATTGAGGCTGTCACAGCTGTCAGCGCTGTCACTGCTGGAGATGTCATCATCAGAGTCCTTAGATGTAGAGAATGGAGAGCTGTTGTCCACCTCTTCATATCGTCTTTTGAGGCTGAGAGACGAACCTGCCTCCATGGAAATTCGGTGTCTGAGGGCACAGAGCCACACACGTCAAGTCACGGAGAACACACACAGCACCAGAGACAGCGGATTTTTGGTGGGAATTTGCAAAATCCCCTATTTGGAGGAAGAGTTGGCAATGTTTGTGGCACTGTGTAATGTTTTTGTTAACTACCTGGTCAATCAGAGCATTGGATCTCTTGTATCAAGTTGTTCCTGTTTAAGGTCGATTCTCGTCATCAGCTATTTGGTCCCGTCTTCTTTCATCAGTATTACACCTCCATCATTGCCTCTCTCTGCCCCGCATCTCACATGAAATCCTACTTTGAAATCAAGTCTAGAAATGTCACCATGGCAACTAGACAAGCACGGTTTATGAAAACCGCCTTGAAGCAAATGATTTCTACGGCTGCACGCTCTTTTTTCCTCTTAATTCTGCTATAAACAGTGGAAAAGGGGGCTCGATACAAGTGAACCCAAAACCTGGAGCTGATCAGTTCCATCAGAGGTCAAACAAGGTGAATGGCAGCAGCAGAATTTATGTCTCATGTCATGTTTTGCTCTGTAGGTCTGTGGTCAAACTGCATCTCAGTTTTGTTTTCGAGGCACAATCCAAATAAACTGCTGCTCATGATGACACTTGACGGAGACGAGGTGTCCTTGTCAAAAACTGCACCTTGCTAACCGCATTAGCATCCCTTATGGTATGATTAAGATACTTCTGAAGGTAATTATAGTTTACCCTGTTGCTCTACATCTGTGAGGCTAATTTTTAACTGGACCTTGGTTAACGTGTCACATGCTACTGACAGTAACATCAAATCATCATTCTGAAATGGGACAGCTCCAAACGAGCCAATATCCACTGAGGTTTCAAAGGGAAATGAAAATTTCTATAGGCTAATACTGTACAATGCTGTTTGTCCTTAAGCTAAACAGAGATGATGTCATAGAAAGACAGTTCCTGAAGCTGCTCTGTGGACAGTGACTAATGGAACAACTACTGCAGCCATACATAGGGACTTTACTGGGACAAGGGGACACTTTCTGCTAAAATGTCCTAAACCTTGATGGAGTATCTCAAAAAAACAAAATAGTAGCCCAGTTGTTTCACCAATTAATCAATATGTTGATCATTAGAGTGATTCTGTAGTTTGTGACTGCAATGGTGAAATTCAAAAATCATCAAAAAAAAAAAAAAGCTCATAAACTCAGTTTTGAAGAGGATTTTCCTTTATGTTGCTATTTGGGAATGAGGTCCTCAACTAAATTTAACCCCTGAAGAGGCCTTGAGGAACAAGTGCAGGCCTGGGAAGCAGCCTACAGACCTTATCTGAACCATCTTCCAACTGTGACCCTAATATAAAGAGATTACATTGACTGTAGGCTGAATTTTGATAATAGGTTCATTTCCCTTAGGAAAATCCGACACCCTCCTGTTCCACCATGTTTCTCTTAGGGACCTGGTAGGACAGCAGCAGACACTGTTTAAAGACAAGTTACTTCATATTTATTTACCTTGAGGGGACATGCAGGATGAGACATTTGTTTAACTGTGTGCATGCAGCAGCTGACCAGACAGTGATGGGGGAGGTTGGTTGGTTGGTTGGTTGGTCGGTTGGTTATCAGCCTGACAGGCACAGGCACAGGGCCCCCCCTCTTTTTTTAAACACACACACACACACACGCGCAATGACAAACCGCCTGGTTAATGAAATACTAAGCCCTGTCTTACCTGGGGCAGAAACAAGGACCCTTATTCCAACCAACTCGTAGGTCGTTTTTCCTCCCACTGCGAGCTGCACATCAATCTTCTAACGCCCTAGGGAGATGCTTTTTCTGCCAAAACCGATATCCCCGAACCGAGTAGCCAGACTGCAACCGTGGAGCTTTGCTAACCCAGACTGATCTGACTGAACCCTTGCGTGATTGTCAATCTGCAAAACTTGTATGACTGTATCGGGCTACTTAGGCTCCATGCTCATTGTTCTGCACAGTGAAAACAGGAGCTGCCGGTTGTATTTAAATACCGCATGCCTATACAGCCTATTTAAAAGTCGGCGAGAAGGAAGGACGTCATATGATCAGCTGCGACTTATTTCCAACATTTTCGGTGCAACCCAAATATAAAGTGCAGAATGTCCTATCTTTGCGGTGTAAACCTTGCAGTAGAGAAATCCGCTGACATCTGTGTTCGTTTATCCTTTTTCTCACCGGGGCGGTTTCAGTCGACTGTGCTCACGTCGCCGTCTTCTGGCATTAACGCGGATATCGGTTTGTTTCGTTTGGTGTCAAAATACTGTCAATATCCGAGCGAGAAGACGCCTTTCTCCGCGTTTCACCCCGGCCCTGTTTGTTACAACGTAACAATGGAGGAAGGAATTCTTCCCTGTAGCCATATATATACGCTTATTGTGACATCACGGGCATGCTTTGCACCGGAGCATGCTGGGAAATGATTTTTTTTTTTTTTTTCTTTTTGTCTTTGTTCATATTGAGCAGAAACAGACGTGGAAATGTGACAGCATTATGACAGGGCTATCATTTAACAGGAACCTGCTGTTTCGGCTCAGATATGATGTGCACCAATATATGACATGATTGATTTTGTCTTGTCAAAACGTAGTTTCCATAGCAACAAAACGACTAGCTGTCTCCACATCTGTCCAACAAAGGGAAAGCAGTGTGTTAAGTAATGCAAATAAAATCAGGCGTCACCTTTGAAGACTTTCTGGGGCACTTTAGAACATTTAGGGTATAATTGTAAAAATATGTATTTTTAGAAAGAAAAAGATGGCGGCCAGTACTTTGGTAAATATTTTAATAATGCCAAAGACGGATAGCTAAAATGCTAAACTATCAATTTAATGTAAGCAGTACAATGGACTGAACATAACAAACCATAGATGTTCACATGCAGCTCTGGTGTTCCCCAGAACCCATTACACTGATTAGTATTTGGAAGTAGTACATCCAAAAACAATGATGAAAAAAAAAATGTACGTATGCTAAAAATATTTCAAAAGACTGCCAAGGTAAACGGATGATTCCTTATGAAAACATTTGTACAACCATTATCTGCTTAAAAACAATGCTGGAAATGGCCAAAAATAAACAAAATTAAAGGCTAAATAAGTAGACAGGGATAGGAAGCACATGGAACAGTGACAGCTGGCTAGTGTGATCACTAACACAGCATTTCATCATCTTTCATGATTCCTAAATAACAACCAGGAGTGCCAGTATGCACACTAATCTATAGAAATCTGGGGGGCATCTTGCTTCTCAGAGGTTACGGTTCAAACCAGTGAAACCAGGCTAAGATTGTTAACTTTTAAAGGAATTGTGTTTCAGAAGAGAGCTGGATCCCCTTAGTGTCCTGATTGCTGATGCTGATGCTTCTCGTGGGTTTTGGATGCAACTGTGTGATTGTGTCAGCTATACCATGTTTCTTGCAGACTGGCTTAAGTGGATCCCAAAAGGCAAACAGGAAGAGGAACAATCATGCTGCCTCGGAAATCAAAAGTCAAGTACTGTCAGTGTAACTATCTGTCTTTGTTGCCTGTTTTTCCTTTTTTGTTGTTGGTTTGTAAAGAGACAGCAAACTGTTGATTCTGAAGCACAGAGGTTTGGCACACCAGATGCTCAGCTAATAAACTGTGACAGCAGCTGTAGTGCCACTAACCTCATTCATGAGACAATAGCGACAGAGGAAAATACGACCATGGCAGGGCGACGAGAACCTTACTTCACTGTGGTAAAAAGAGTCACTTCCTCAAAAGTAAGACAAGAAGGTATAGTGAGAAAAGGGCCGGGGTTTCTGTCGCATATTCCTCCTAGCAGCCTCAAGAGGTTTTCTTGGGGCAGCTCCACATATTCCAAGAACAGCAAGGAGTATGAAGCTCTAGAGGGGCTGACTGGATAGGGTCTAAATAAGAGCAAGGCTACACTATTCTTTCGCCCAGTATTCATTTCAGGATGATGTGGTAGCCATCATTTGTGTCATCTGAAAACAAGGAAAAAGACAAAACATACTTCGTCCTGGAAGTTCTGAATCATCTGTTGAAAAGAGTAACAATTTAAAGTAGGAGGGAAACAACACATCATCTGTAGCCGTGGTAAAGTCAGAAAACAGGAGGTTCTGGGGAAAAAAAGATCATCTTACCTCATCACTGACCAACACATGGATGCCAGTGGGACCCTGTTTAAAGATCTGGTTTATCTGTCTGGGTGAGATGTTGAAGAGCTGAGCAACCTTCTCTGTCAGCTCAGCGGCTGTGAGGTCTTCCAGGTAAATGGCGTGATATACTGGCGAAACAAACAGGTACAATAAACATAAATATACATTTTTTTTTCCTGCTATTTTTATATAGTGAATATATTACACTGTACTTGATGTGTGAGTATGTGTTGTGGTTTTATGGAGATTTTAACTATTTAACAACTGTTATGTTTGTAATTAAAATGTACTTTGTACACAACACAAGTCGGCATTGTCTTATGCACAGCCAGTGATGCGTGTTACTTTTAAAAGCACACCAACAGACCGTGTTTGGAATAACTTCAGTAACTGGCCTGGCATATAAAGAGCTCCTGTTGGCTCCCTGTGAAGCTCAGTGACGAAAGGACTGCAGGAATTATCACCACAACTCAGGCTGACTTTACACAAATGAGAATTTATGGTTCTCATTAAGAAAGTACATAAGCACATTTCCCAAATGTGAAACCATTTCTTCAACTGTCAGCAACAGAAAATTAAATGCATAGTGCATATCAAGTAAAATGTGAAAAAAAGAAAAGCAGCTTATTTGAGCATTACTAGGAGAGAGTCCCTGATCTGATACCAGGTACTGGTGTTGGCATTGGCTCGGGCGTTATCTCCCAGGATCTGTATTGGCAAGAATAAAGCCGACCAATTACGGTCCTTATTTAGAAGTAAGGTCCTGTATCTGAACAGGCTCGGTTCCATTGTTAAGATGCATGTCATGTGGCCCATATATTAATCAACCCGTCTACATCACACAGGAGTGGGCTGACACATCACTCATGTTAAACACTACACATAATCCACCTAAACAATGAAAGCTCACTAGTTTCAACGCGATCTCTGGCAAAATTGAGAAATACATCAAGCATGACCTGTTTACATCAGTGCTACTGAACATGGCAGTTAACTGTTTTTGTAAAGTGTCTATAGTTTTTTTTATTTGCTGTGTTTTACCACGGTGTAAACATTAATGTCCTCATTGTTTATTATCTGTCGGAGCTTTGGACTATAGTTTTTTCTGCAGGCTCCTCTGTGTCTTTGTAAACCTAGCGCTTCTTATGCGCAAGTAAACACGCACCCAGTAGTAGTAGACATGAACACAAGCCTCCCACACTGCATGTGCATGCAAGATGTTAGGCGATGTGTGTTAAGTGTAGACACAGCAAGGTTTATGCTTTTGTCCAGTAATGCTATGACAGCTGCCACCTTTTGTTAATGCAGCAGTCATTAAACTGTCAGAGATATCTAAATTGGACTGGTTACACAAACTGTGTGTGATATGAAGTAGACGTTAGTATCCGTCCCGTAATGAATCTGTAGTTCTGAGAGTCTTGTCCTGCTCCAAGTTATTCTTTTATTTATATCATTAATTTAACCTAATAAACTTAATATTTTGGAACCAGGGCCTGATCCAGTATTTCGATCAAGAAGTTCCTGAAAAATACAGTGACACAGATTAATTTAAATTTCTTTGAACATTTACTGTAAGTAAACAAAAGTATCCGATCAAATCAGTATCAGTAGACAAGTAATATTAAAGGAAATGGATCAATATCTGGCCCAAAAACTGGATCAGGACATCCCTGATTACTAGTTCTATACATTATTGATCACTGTGAATGTTATCAGGATGCAATGACACTGCAACTTCAGGACACACCTAACAAAGCCTCCTAACAGTTAACTGCCAAGCACTGTGCCTCATTAGAAGATTCATTTAATGCCCTTTGCTAAAACAAACCAACATTAAGCACAACCATGGACAGACCAAAAAAGGTGTTGGCGGCAGCATCTCCGTTTTCATGTTTTGCTTGCTGTTCCCGTGCCTGCTGAGACTCCTGGCAAACATAGATGGTCAGCCTCGGTCGCACCACCCTAGGAACACCATCCACACAGAGAAAATGGCAAGACGTCCATAAACGTATGTGATAAATGACTTGTTTTCAGGCAGGATAACATAGGAGACCCACCGTCCTTTCAGTGCATTGAAGAGTCTTATACCATCTGCTGGCCCACAGATCTGAATGACATCCTCCCTGGTCAGCTTCAACAGGTCTGTCCCTGTTAGAAACAACAGGTATATTTGTGTTTATTACACACTTAAATAAACGGGTGCTTTTTGTATGTGCATCTGTGTGTAATTTGTAAAAATTGAGCATTACCTGAGAAGTTGGTGAAGAGCCGACAGAAGGGTGAGAAGCGGTTTCTAAGAAGCCACTGTTGTGCATCCTGTGGTGTTGCTGTAGGTAACAAATTCTGAGGAAAAAGACAAGACAGAACATCCTGTGGTGTTGCTGTGGGTAACAAATTCTGAGGAAAAAAAACAAGACAGAACCCAGTTCAAACTATCTCATAGGTAGGTAGCTTGAAATTCATATTTGTCCTAAACTTTAAATATAGGTTGCTTGTAGAAATTCATATTTGTCCTAAACTTTAAAAACAAAAAGGAAAAGTGTAAAGGCACACAACTCAGACCAAAGATTGAGTTTGACCAAGGCTGCATTCTTCTACTTCAGAATGCAGAAGGTTTTGTAAAGTCTATTTTAAAGACAAACTGAATATTCTGCATCGTCTATGATGAGTCTTAGCAGCACAGTAATTGTCAATAGCCTGAATCTACTTAATGTACCTTTTTAACACAGAGTTAATTTAATAGTGGTCAAACATGATGCAACAACTTCATCTGCAAAAACACTGATTCATCTTCATGATTCATCTACATTACTAGTCAAAGCTTTGGACACACTCCCCCAATAACATCCAGAAAGAGAATTCAGGTTTACTTACATCAACTACCTGAATGACAGGCTCAGGCTGGTGACTTGGTGATCCATTTCTAAAAAAAAAAATTAAAAGATCATATAAGAACCTAGGGGGTAAACTGGAATCCACACTAGCAATAAACTGAACATCCTGTGTGCTCCTCAGTAACCGCACACAGCCACTCTATGCAGATTTGATGGTAAATTAAATTCAAACAGCAACCAGCATTAATCAGTAAGTAATGTTAAAAACTGGATAACTTTCATACCCTTCTGCAACTGGGAAGCTGTTGTGTGTGCTGTTGAAGCCAGGGGATGGGGAGTTATTGACGTATGTGATCTCAGGCCAGGGGGAGCACTGCAACACAATAACGCTGTGTTACTGGGCATCTAAATAACCTCAGGAATACATTTCTGCTGTCACCAGTTATAAGCTTGCAGCTTCCCCTAACATTTCACTTCCCACACTGTTTATGACTCAGACCACTAGTGTGTCATCCAAAGGGTGGATTACACTTTTTATTTCTTGGGTTCAGTAAAGCAGATCAAAATCTGGCAAAATCTTAAATGTATTCCACTGCTTTTATTTCTACTGCACCTCAAACCGCTGCTCTCCCTCACTGTAAGTGGGATTTCTAGTGCAAATATTCACTCCATATGTGAGAGAAAATCAGTGTGTGTGAATGTGGAAAACTATCTGGTTGCACTGGTGAATGACTGAGTTCACACAGTGAGGTGTGCCGGCGGGAGTCTATACTCAGCCAAACATCTTCTGTGAGGGTTGAACCTCCGCCCTACAAACAGACTGCTAGTGTAGTTCCAACTAATCCAACAAAGTGATATGTCTTCTCACTAACTGGTCTTGTCACAGCAGTTTCTGGAGCAGGAACATGTGCAGTTAATCTTTTATTTATATCGCAACAATAATTTAAGGTTTTAAACTTATCCTTTTTAACCATGACCTCCAGTATTAGGGTCAAGACTTTTGGGACTAATGAATGTAAGGATCAAAATGGACTCTGTATCAGCAGATAGTCAACATATGAAGAGTGAAACAACAAGTCCATCGATAGACAGAAACCTAATTAGCAACTATTTATCATTTGTTGTCTCTCAAGCAAACATCCCAAGCGTTCTCTGGTTACAGCTTCTCAATGTGGGGATTTACTGCTTCTCTCCGTATTAGATCACTGCAATGTGAACATGTTTGGTTTTGGACCACTGGTCAGACAATACACAGAATTTGAGCATATTACCTTGGACTCTGGAAAAATGCAGCTTTTCTTCTTACAGAATTCCTCAAAATGTCACAAGCTAAACACTTAACCTAAAAATAACTGACAGATTAACTGATGATGAAAATAATTATTAGCTGAGGCTCTACTGGGAAAGGATGCAAACATCTTCAGGTTGACACAATGCCCATCATGCAATTGTTTTTGCCAAGTCGTGTTTAGAAGCACACGGATATTCTTCAGTGACAGTTACAGAAAGCTGTAAGCCTAATTTTTATCTGAGCACTGAATTATGCCATTAACACTCTCACAATATGCTAACCTCTGTCAGGATTGTGGTTTCATAAGAGGGCTGGTACTTTTCCTTTTCTTGCGGCGCCCTCTTCTCCATTTTCTCTCTGTCTGTCTTCTGCTTTCTGTCTGCACCCTTGGGCTGAAAAAGGAAACGTGGGCCATGAAAAACACTACCACAGACCAATACAACAAATGCTTGCACTGCAGTGCATCCAAGTTTTTGCTTCTATGTTTTACTTGCCTTGAAAACTTTGACCTGGCAGGAGGCAGAATGGAGATGTTCTGTATACTCTCCATTCTCGTTCTCTTTAAACGTGTCAATCTGGATGCGGAAAGGAACACCCTTTTCCCCACCGTGCTTACGCATGGTGAACTCTGTGCTGATGCAATGAACCTAAAAAGGAAAAGAATATAAAGCTGAAATCTCTAATGGAATGATGACACAGTATACAACCTGTGAAATCAATAAATTGATCCTGGCAAAATTGTTGCATTTGTAACTACTGCCTGCAGAATGACATTCACTGTACTCGCCATTTTGCCAAACATATCAGATGAGTACAGTAATTGTAAACAGTCTTAGTGCTATAATGCTAATGTGCTATACAGTAAATCACCTCAGATTACTGCCACTACTTTTAATGACACAAAGTAATTCAGGAAAACAACAGTGTTGTCCATCATGCTACCTGGATAAAAACTGAGGTTCTTTTTGATGGGTCCCAAAGGAACTCCACAGTGTTAAGCTGAGTAGGGTTAGCCCTGGGGTCGATAATGCCGACTGACATGGGGATATCTGCAATTGGTCAATGTAAGACAAGCTGTTATCAAAATCGTTCTTATGCGCACCATCTTCTCCATATGATCATCACTGTCATGTTGTGCTTGGGGTTCAGTTAACAGTCATCACACTGAATCTAAACATTATTGGTCAGCTGGGCTATATAATATACAGACGGGTGATAAATGAAAGGAAAACCCTGAATAAATGAGTGGCCTCTTCCAAAATGACAAAGGGCCCAAGGGGTCAGTGAATGGTTTGATGTTGATGAACATGATGTGAATCAGATGCTGTGGCCTTCACAGTCACCAGGTCTCAGCCCAGTTGAACAGCTATGGGAGATGTCAGAGCAACGTGTTAGACAGCGTCTCCACCACCATCATCAAAACACCACGAGGGGATATCTGTTGGAAGAATGGCGTCCGTCCCTCCAAGAGAGTTCAGAGACTTGGAAAGCCAGTGCCAAGGAGCAATGAAGCTGTTCCGGTGGTACATGGTGGCTCAGCACCGCATTGAGACACTTCATGTGGGTTTTCCTTTCATTGCTCACCCATCTGTATATACAATACAAGGCTGTACAGCAACTGTTTTTCGACACACACATCCAGTATAATATATAAAACCACAACTTTCTGGGGCCAGCAAAGTAAAATGGCCATTTTTATTCGGTGCTCACCCAGGTCAAGGATGCGATCCCCGGGCCTGTTCCAGCGCCAGCCTTCCAACTGCTGGTGCTCTGTGTACTGAAGTCGCCGGTCATGAAACACAACACGAATAATGCTCTGGAATTTAGAAAGATTAATTTTTATAAAGGATCCAAACGAGATAAACAACGCATGCTACTCACTTTTATACTGGTCTGGCAGACAAGACAGTAACTATGAAAATATATTCTAATGTATGTGTGAAATGAAGAGAAATGTCAAAATCTTACCTTCACCATTTTACCTGTGATTTCCGGAAGTTCTCCTATTTTCTGATTGTCAAGCATTCTTATTTCATAGGACTGTCCTGTAATGCCAAGTGCACACAGTGAACAAATGTGTCTCATTTCTACCCAGGCTGCCACAAAACACCACTCACAGCTGATATCCTGACCTAATACTAATCACAAAAGGCTAAATTTGTACATGTACTTCTTCATATAGTTCCAACGACACAATGTACTCACAGTACAATACAATATGTTGCAAAACATGCCATGACTATGACTATAATGTCAGTTCTATAATACCACATATACTGTGAGCTAACCATGAAGCACCACAGTATCTTTGCAACAATGGAGAAAAAGACACCTTAAATGTCTTTCACCTTTTCAATAAACTGACAACAGGCTGAACATCCACAAAAGAAGGTGTCGCTATACTGATGCAGGTTAATGTCATAAACACACCCTTTCAGACCACACAGCAACATGTTTCCTAACTGACTGTTTCCCACCACCACTTATTTCTACTACCATTAAATTTGCCTTTTAAGATTTATAGTCCTTCAGGTTATAAAATATCAAAAACTACTATGTCAAAGCAGCTTAACTCATTGTCAGTGGCTTCTATATTTATGTTCTTAGATCTCAATAAATTTACACAAAGATGAAAGGTACACTAGGACTGGGATCCCAGTGCTGACCTTGGTTGAGGTAGGTGAGTGTTTCATCATGCAGTTTAACAGCTGGCGAGGTAGCTGCACACAGAACATACTGGAAAGGAAGGATCTTGTCATCTGTATCTGGAGGCAGGTTGGACTCCTCCTGTTTGAAGATGGGGAGGGCTAGCACATCACTGGAGAGCAGAGAAAAAACAGAACTGATTAATGTTAAATCACATACAGAGTCTAACAATTTCTACCATCACCTGGCAACACTTGAGAATGAATGGCTATTTACCGTGTTGTCAAGCTTTGCAGTTCATTAAGTTTAATGGGGGCAAGTCGGGAAGTACCAAGGTATCCAGTCAGTACCTAACTGCTCCTCTCAACAAAAAAATTTCAGGAACAGGAAGGTGCCTTGCACCTTGTACATTATCATATAACAGGTCACTTAGCCAGCCAGAAAATGACATAAAAGTGAGGCCCCTTTCTTTGGCAAAGAAAAGTGCTTGAGTCAGCAAACCTAAAATCAAGTTCACATTATTTCCATGTACTCCTACACTGTAAATATCTATTAGGACCTAAACAGTTGAATAAGACATCACCTAATGTAAAACCACTTAACTGTGAGCTATCGGCACTTAACAAGTCACGACTATGCTGCGACTAGGAACATCAACATCTAGTTCTCCAATCAGACTTCATCAAGTATTTTTCATCTAGCTTTGCCATTCAACCGCATGTGGTGATCAGTTTGTCCTTTTGCTACCTTTCAGTACAGGAATTCTAAGTGCGAAGAGCTTTCATGGATCAAACTTCACATAACGTTGTCCATATATAAGGCTAATTTGAACAGAGAAGTCTTTAAAAGATGCCAAATATCCTCATCTAGAACCCCTAACCTGTTCCACATTTAAGAGTGCAGACTGCCAACACATCTAACAATTTTTAATAGATATCTTCAGACTATTCTTTCAATGAATCCTTTGCTCCATAAATTATCAAAAACTGGGAAAAATATCAGTTTCCTGAAGACCATGGTACTGTCATCAAGTGCTATGTTGTGTGTGACAGTCCAGAACAACAGATATTCAGTTTACTGTAGTATTAAGACACAAAAAAACAACACATAGGCCAATTAATTTGTGGTATTTTGTCTGAAAAAGGACTGAAACAGGTCATGAAAATAGTCAGCAATTAAAAAAAAAAAATCTAATAATTGTTACACCTCTAACAAAATCATAATCTTAAAAGCTCTGGGTCATGTAAACACACACACTGCTGACATTCAAGCTTAAGCAGGTGAAAGATCACTGACTCTAAATAGTGGCTACTGAAGGAGTCATCACTTTGAGGGTGCCAGAATATTTTGTACTAATTTGAAACACGTTAGAACTGTAATTAAAGTCAATAACAACAATAAACTTAAAAGAGAAGACTCAAACCGTCCAAAACTCATACTGTACCTCATGCTGTATGCTCCAGCACCAAGCTCCTGGCCAATGCCCGAGAGACTGGCATCAAAGTCCTGGACCAGTCCGGACTCAATCACTTCATCAGTGAGAGGCAACTTCAGAGTCCACGCCATGGTGACGATGTGGAGGCCTTACGGGGTGCAGTTCCGGTTAAAAACCTAAGCCAAGTTTTAAACCTTTGTCCCAAATCTTCAGTGGAGAAAGTTAAATAATAAGTGAACTGCCATTAGGTGTAGCCCCAACCTTAAATTCGCGAAAAACGGCGACATTTAAATGTTCAATCGACGGGCATTGCCACAAAATAGAGACAAAAGAATCAGCACATTAACACATTATCAGTTTGTGTAATTTTGGATAACAGGTTACTATTCTGAGCAATACAGAGCTTCTGATATTTACTGTAACTGTAAACCTTCTAAAGTCTGTTCACACGTTTCATGCAACCGTGATGTACTGTTCCTATGCAATAACTGGTGACAAATTCCAATATTTTTAAACTTTTCTCTTTTATTTAGCTAACGCGATCCAATGAAAGGTACAAAGCTTACCTTTAAATAAAAAAGCGGGGCTACTTGCTATCACTGCGTGAGTTTCATGCCATCATGTCGCGCTCCTTCGCCTCTGCACTAAAATAAACATGTCGAGCTAACCTCTTAGCTATCTAACGTTAGTTACCCTGCCAGCTAACTTAGCTGGTAGGATGCTAGCCCTTTTTCGCCTCAGTTAGTGGCCATTAAAGGGGAAAACGTCCCGTTAGACATATCTTTAAATAGAAAAACATCAAAATTATCTAACTCCCCTAAACATTTGTAATACAATATCTTGCTTTTGTTTGTTTAACTAGCTTCTTCGAAAAACGAAGCTATAATTTCCGCTTCATACTCTTCTTCGTGGATTTTTATTTTATAGCACTAGCATGACCTTAAGGTTCATTACCGCCACCTACCGGCCGTCAATACATAAGTTACAGGATGTGTGAATGTAAAGTACAATATGTGACAGGAGTTTTTGAAAAGACACCTAGTAAAAGTAATGCAAAAGTAATCCAAATGATAGTACAACCATTAGGTGATGTAGCCACTGGTCTCTTGTATTATCCTTTGACTTACCCTCATGAGCCAACTTCTGTCTTTCACAGTAACTTGATTTTTTCACTTGATACACTTTTACTTCTTGGACAGTTCTTGCCATTTTATGCTTTAAAAGGTTTGTCACATTTTCTGATTATTTGTATGATGCACTTTGAAAATACAGTTAAACCATGTTTATCTGTATAAGTATACAGCTCTAGAGTAGGTAGGCTAGAGGTTGGTTTCTGGATGTCTGGGGAAATCATGAAACTGCCATGTACAGCAGGTGTCAACAGGGCCCCCTAGAAGGTTAACATGGCCAGTAGTAGAAGTGACATTTTGTTTGTAAAGTCTGTTTTTTGTGGTGGTGGTCAGTGTTAACTATTAAGTCAATGCAAAAGTTTAAAAACATAATAACACACAACAACATACAGTGAGTGATATAGACAAGGTTTATTCAATTGAACAGAAAATGACAAAAGCATCCAATGTTTGTTTTTCTTTTGACTAGTGAAGACCTGACATTTTTTATGTGCTTTGCAGAGTCAAATGACTAACAGCTGTTATCTTGTTATTGTAATTTAGCTCTTCTTTTCTCTATTGATAAGGTAGTATATTAAACAATATTATATATTGTCTTCCCTTATTGAATATGAAGGTAAAACACATATTATAGCAATACCTTTGCAGTGTTATTTTATAATTAGATATGCAATATAGGTCCACTCTAATTCAGGCAAATATGAAGTGGGGCATACTGTTATATGCAACATTCAACATATCATTCACAAGCTGAAAGAAAATCTTTTGAAGATGCAATTAATGCATATTAGCTTTTATATGTAATCTACAGCATTTTACATTTCATCTGCATAAAAAGTACAATAATATTAATGATGTTGCTTGTCATGTTGACGAATGCAGTTTTGCCAGTACTGCTAACATTTTGCAAAGCAAAGCTCCTTGCTGCTCAAAAACTTTAAACTGCACAAATTATATTCTGTTACAAATGCAACTGAAACTTGCACTGTGCATAAACCGTTCATTACCCTTTAACCTTCCCTGCAGCCACTAAAGTGCAAAGAATTCTTGAAGAATTGGCAAAGACAAAGAAAACTACCATAGTACATAATCTAATTTCATACTGCAGGCACTCTTCTACCTCAGCCAGAGTGAAAGACAGAACAAATTGAAAAAACAAACCCGCCTTCCTTGGCTGAACAGTTAATTGCATTTTTTTAATTCATTGAATCAATTTGATTGATATTAGGCCTAGGATATTAAAAACCCTTGCATTAATGTTTCAGGCAATGTTAGACTATTTTAAATTGATAGTTCATAATAGGCCAATTAAGCTCCAATTCTGCACATATGCTTTATCTAACTTAAGATAAAAAATGTCAGAAAAGCAATGTCAAGCCATTAAGGGAACCATCACAAGTGAACAAAGAGGAAACACACAACAATCTCAGAGTATTTTGAACATATTAAACAGAAAGTGTAAAGACAGGACAGTGTGGTGAACTCGCACACATCACCCACACACTGAAAAAAAAGATTTGTTGGATTTACTTGATTGTAATGTGTATATCGGTCCCACACAATGGTAATGTGTAAAACCAACATAATTTTCTTTAAGGTTTAACTTGTTTGAATTATGTTAACAGAGGAAATATGAATGAATTGCGTTGCATATACTAGCATAATTTGTGTAAATCCAAAGACCCAGTGAGTCCTTTTTTCAGTGCACAAAGTTTGTGTATGTTCGCCATCGGTATCCCACAAACTTAAAGAAATGTCAAGTTGGCATCAAAGGCAATGGCATTATTTTAAAAAGAACCTGCTGTCCATGGATCATCAAACATAAAACTCTCTTTATGAAGACCCTACAGTTTCACAATGCCAAATTACAACTACACATTTTCTGATTATCAATCAGAAATATAAAAATAATGATTGTCCCAAAACCCTTGCTTCAGAGTCAGGAGTCCAGAAAGGGAAAAATGATGTTTGGCATTCCTTAGATAATTCATTGTGATTTAATAAGGTTGTAGGGTAATGCCTATTAATAGCCTACAGAGCCTAATGCCTGTCAGAACCTTATGTTGGCAGAGCTACCCATGCAGTACAAATACTGTGCGAATATTAAATAAAGAAGCAGCTATAATTCTGAAATCAAACACGATGGCTAAAGCATATTATTCAAATATGAGTGTACCATCAGTCATTGCATCAAAATGACAATTATGTGATCAAACTCAATGTGGCTCAATGCACACCCACCTAATAGAATTCAGAGGAGCAGCCTATAAAACCACTTGTATAAAACTTCATCAAACATTTTATCTTATTAACAATGTATATGATAAGAGAACCATGCAGTTCAATTTAGTACCCACCACTCAGAAGTAGTGTAAACATACACAGCCTTAAAACACAATAACTGATTTTAGTATTCTTTCAGAAGACTTCAATCATGTGTAATTTCCTTATTTTTTTCAAAAACTTTATATTCTTTTGGCCCTAGTGGAATTTAAATCATATTTACAACACAAACAGCATGTCTCTTGGTGTATTCAATGTTCAGCTTCTCAAAAGGACAAAAGATCAGTGGTGAACCCGCCCAGAATGAGGTTGCTACTGGACCTGGAAGACATTGATCTTGCTTGTGTTTTTCAGCGTCTGTCGCCGGTTACAGAACCATACTCGCACAACCTCTCTGTCATAGTTTAGCTCTCTTGCAATTTCCGTAATCTCTTGGCCTGTTGGCAGTGCGTTCTTCTCAAAGTAGGAGTTAAGAACTTCTATTGCCTGTGGTGTGAAACTAGTGCGACGCTTGCGTTTTTTGGAAGGTTCACCGCCGACAAACTCCATCAGATTCTGCTGGCCTTTCTGATTCCAGTGCTCGGCTTCTGCCAGCCACTTCTCCAACACCGGTTTTAGCTTCTGAGCACTCTTGGGGGTAATATCCAACTTCTCAAACCTGCAATGCCAAAAAAAACCTAAGCTGAGGCATTTCATGAAAACTCAATATATGTACCAAATCTCAATTTGATCCCTATGAATTCACATAGACCCAATCTGCAAGGACATTTTCAGATCATGAAACAATTGCGCAGTTCTTAAGATTTGTACTCACAGATGCTAGTTACCCAATTATATCCACATTGATGCATTAATTTAAAGGTGCAGTGTGTCACACCTTGGCCTGGGGGTTGCCCAGGCATAACAGGAGATTCCCCTCTTCCCAGCACCCAGAAACAACCAGTGAACAGGTTAAGCCTTCTAAATTGGTATTTTATTTGGAAGCTCAGAACAGAGTGGAGAGAAAGGCTTCAGGGTGGGTCCAGCAAAATAACACACAAAACCAGCTAAGTTAAAGCCCTGTTCTTACCTATACAGAAGTAGAACCCAAGCTTCTAAACAAGGAAACAGAAGGGAAAAGGATACACAACAAAAAGGCTAACCCCACCCCTATGGCAAAGGGCTTTTAGCACAATAAGTTATTTATAACATTTACAATATTGGAGACACTGGATGACACTACATGCTGGTCTGGTCTGGAGACTGTAGAGAGAAGAGCCTCAGTTGGACAAGGAGGAACCACCTCGGTATCCAGAGCAGCAACCAGTCAGCATCTAAGTAGACAAACACCCACTCACTCACTCCAGTGGTCTCCACCTGCAGCCTGAATGCAAGATTACACACAAACACTCATCGTAACAGGTGTTAGAAGGTCTAGTGAAACTCAAAACAAACTGACGCCTTGTTTCCTAGAAAAGTTGTAAACTATGGATGCTTGGTTGCACCAATCTATACAAAACTCAGCCACCAGTCCAAAGCCACCGTTAGCTGGCGTAACTAACGAGTCCCAGTCCTGTGTCAAAATGTGGTCCCGCATGGAGATGTGTCCCACTCTCTCTGTGTACAAGAGCCTGACCTCTTCATTCTGGCAGCCACTGTTTTGGACTTTAAACTGCCAAGAGCTGACTCTTTGAAATGACTACTTGCACACAGATTCAAAAAAACGCTTCCTATAGCCTTGCTAGATGACAGGTGATGCTAACATCTGGACTGACTATCAAAACAGAGGGTAGAGAAGCAGGAATAACAACAGAAGGGCTATAGGCAACAAAGTGTCATGGAGGCGGGAGTATAGCTGAGAGACATGGAACATGGAATGTCACCTCGCTGGTGGGGAAGGAGCCCGAGCTTGAGAGGTACCGGCTAGATATAGTCGGGCTCACCTCCACGCACAGCTTGGGCTCTGGAACTTTACTCCTTGAGAGAGGCTGGACTCTCTACTACTCTGGAGTTGCCCGCGGTGAGAGGCGGCGGGCTGATGTGGGCTTGCTCATAGCTCCCCAGCTTAGCCACCATGTGTTGGAGTTTACGCTGGTGAACGAGAGGGTCGCTTCCCTGCGCCTTCGGGTCGGGGATAGGTCTCTCACTGCCGTTTGTGCCTACGGGCCGAATGGCAGTGT